CCAACCCGATGGGCTCGAAAACACTGACCCGGGCCGGATCACGGCCCGGTCCATCCCGACGGGCTCGAAAACACTAACCCGGACCCAGCACGGACCTACACTAGTGTCGGGTCCCTCATTTTTCTAAAGCAATAGAAAAAAGTGGGCCATGGACCCGCCGGGCCGGGACCGCCGGGCCGGGCCATGAAATTGATGGCCCTGAAAAGGCTCGTCTGAAATCCGGTATGGTCCCTGACCCGTGGTCAACGGGTTTGACCAGACCGGATCCATGCTGGGTTCGGGTCCCTGACCCGTGGTCAACGTCATTTTTTTCATCAATTTCAACATTTATTTGTGAACTATGCCTCATAATTAGTCAAAATCCAAGAATAAAAATTTTTAATTGTTATTGACATAATGCAGACATATGATTGCCAATATTTTTTGTGGCATGATGTTGAATTATTACCATTAGCGGACCTTTCTGAAGCTCTTCCCTAAGTTCATTTTCAAAGTTGAACGGCTCACCGTTATCAGTAGGCGAAACATCGAGTATCACATGTCCAACCACATGTTTTACCACTTGTAGACCTCTCCCAGCCAACCTTGCAAACTACTTGATGTTTTGACTCGCATCTTAGGATAATCTTCCTCAAAGGCAACGCCAACCTCCCCTAGCCAGTTGGTAAATGTCGTGTTACTCTTTTCCATGCCCGGTATCTTCTCAGTGCATCTAGGGCATGTTTCAGGGAAATTCTACGATTATCTCTTTCTATCCTTAGTTTGTATTCAATGTAATATTTGGAGGATGTCAATTCACAGTACTTAAAAAAAGAGAAATAATTAATTAGAAAGAAATAATTAATAATGAACAAAACTCATTGAAAACGTACATCCGCGTTTTTTATCCAGAGGAGGTGGGAGCTGACCAGTGATTCTCCACGTGAAGTCCATTTTGCAAAATAAAGTTTCAGGTTTTAGAACAATAAAAAAAAATAAACAAATAAATAAATAAAAAAGTGAAGCAGTATTCGTGTTTTCAGAACAAAAAAATGTAAAAGTAAAATAAAATAAAATAAAAAGAAAAGAAGCTGGTGTTCGTGTTTTTAGAACAAAAAAATGTAAAAGAGAAAAGAAGAAGAAAATGTGAATCGTATTCGTGGGAAGTGTGTGTAGTTAAAAAAAATAAAATTGAATAAAAGCAGATATGTTGACCTCGAACACAAATCATAATCCGTCGAGAAGTTATCATCGATGTCGTTTAAAAAATATAAGCATTCAATTTGTGTTTGAAAAAATGTACATTTCTTATGTAGTTATTTTTTCATCAGTTTCAACATTGATTTTGGAACTAGGCCTCATAATTAGTCAAAATCCAAGATTGAAAATTTGTAATTGTTATTGATATAATGCAGACATATGATCGCAAATATTTTTTGTGGCATGATGTTGAATTACCACCATTAGCGGACCTTTCTGACGCTCATCCCTGAGTTCTTTTTCAAAGTTGAATGGCTCACCGTTATCAATGGACGAAGCATCGAGTATCACATGTCCAACCACATGTTTTACCACTTGTAGACCTCTAACAGCCTACCTTGCAAACTCCTTGATGTTTTGACTCGCAGTACTCATCTTAGGATAATCTTCCTCAAAGGCAATGCCAACCTCCCCTAGTCAGTCGGTAAATGTCGTGTTATGCATTTCCCCTACCCGGTATCTTCTCAGTGCATCTAGGGCATGTTTCAGGGAAATTCTACGATTATCTCCTTCCATCCTTAGTTTGTATTCAATGTAATATTTTGGAGGCTGCCAATCATAGTATTCTAAAAAAAGAGAAATAACTAATTAGAAAAAAATAATTAATAATTAACAAAACTCATTGAAAACTTACATCCGCGTTTTTGATCCAGAGGAGGTGGGAGATAGCCAGTGGTTCTCCACGTGAAGTCTATTCTGCAAAATAAAGTTTCAAGTTTTAGAACAATAAAAAATAAATAAATAAATAAGTGAAGCAGTCTTCGTGCTTTCAGAACCAAAAAATGTAAAAATAAAAAAATAAAAAAATTAAAAAAGAAGTCGATGTTCGTGTTTTTAGAACAAAAAAATTTAAAAAAAAAAGAAGAAGAAAATGTCATTCGTGTTCGTGGGAAGTATGGTAGTTCAAAAAAAAATTGAATAAAACTAACTCACTCTAAAAGGTATGATTAAAAACGGTGTGTAGTGTGTGTCTGTGTGTATGTGTGTGAAAGTGTGAGTATGTGTATCCAGAGTGTGTGTTTTGAATTCCAAAAAAAAAAGTACAATAGTGTGTGTGCGGGGAGCAGAGGTGATCAGCGATCAAAATCCGTACGAGATAATGACACAGGAGGAGGTTGTAGTTATAAACAACTTTTAGTAAAATTAATTCTATAACATTTTTCCCAGGGTTTGGTAAAAACATCTAATCTAATATATAAAATGTTTTTGGCCCAAATTTCCTAGTAGGATGTTGCTTTATTGGAATCATACACTGATCACACTTATGCCTAAAAGCAACAATCCATCTTCATTGAATCACTTTAGACCAATAAGTTTATGTGTTGTGGTGTACAAGATCATTTCTAAAATAATAGCAATGAGACTGAGGAACTGTTTAAGCCAGTGTGTGAGTGAGACTCAAGCAGCTTTTTTTCCAGGTAGAATGTTGAGTGACAATGTTGTGATAGCCTACGAAGGAGTTCATTTATTGAACAGATATAGGTCAGGCAAGCATAGTTATATGGCAGTGAAGTTGGATATGATAAAAGCTTATGACAGAATAGAGTGAAGATGTTTGAAACTTACTCTGGAAAAAATGGGTTTTGCAATGAAATTTGTTCAATAGATTATGGAATGTCTCTTCAGTATCTTTTGCTTTTATACATGTCTCTGAAAACTGATAATGAGAAGTTTGGAGATTGATGGGGTATGGTTTGTAGTATTGATGGGTCTGTGATAGCTGAAGCCAGGATTGAACTAACAACTTACATGTTATGGTGGCTTTGGAAATCTCGCAACTTTCGGTTGTTTGAAAACATCTAGAGATCAGAGACAAGTATTATGAAAACAACAGTTGGGGGATGGCAAGAAGCAGTTGAGGTGGGAAGAGGTCACAAAAGAGGGTCACACAGAAGCTAAGCTAGGTCTGCTTTGCTCATAGTAGTACAGTGGTGAAGTTTCTGTGTTGTATTACTTTTCTTTAATTAGTGCTTGGTAGTATATATGTGTTAGTGTTTTGTATGCAGTTAAAGGTTTCAGTGAGTTAACTGCCTTCCGTGTTTGTGGTTGTCTATGGTAATTCTAGGCTACATAGTATGTTGTGTAGTTCTCTCTAGTTTGTGCCTTCAGGTATTTGGGTTTCCCTATTGTATTTGGACATTGTACCTTTTATTTTGTGTTATTGAGTTCTCCTATCGTTTCATAAAAAAAAAGGTAGGCCACATCGAAACTAACACCTACCAGTGCCAGAAATATGGTGTGGCTCCCCGGTAAATACACATGGAAATTTCATCTCAATAAAAGGCCACAAATTAAAGACAAAATCCACATCTACTTTAGTTAATTAATAATAATAATAATAATAATAATAATAATAATAATAATAATAATAATAATAATAATAATAATCCCCTCACTTAGAAAATCGCAATTGTACACAAAATTTCAAAAAATATAGATAAAGTGAGTTAATATAAAAAAATGATTAAGTCATGATTTGAGTGGAATTTTTGAGTTTATATTTACATAATATTTAAAATGTAATAACTAAAGTTGATGTGATGTAAAATTATGAGAAAAATTATTTGGAATGATAGTTAATTAAAAGTATGTAAGTGAATGAATAGTGAATTAAATGTGATATAATGTGTGATAATAATTGATTGTTTTCGAAAACCCTAAAATTTTTCTCCATGTTATTTCGTCTTTGTTCACAATCAATCTGAGGAGGTGTTTCATGTCTTGGAAATAGACTTTCGGTGTTAAATTGTGTAAATTGATTGAGTTATTTTCTTTTGAGTTGACATTCTTGTGCTTTTTTTCTGTTTTTTCTTTTTCAATGTTGTTAAATTTTGTTAGTAAATACTATGAACATATGAATTTCGACTTTTTTTTGGGATTCTTGCAAAATTTCTTGTCGAATGATTTAGTGTTATTTCGTTTTTTCCACGTCAAAATTTCTTACGTGGCCTTCCTATGTCTTATTTCGTTTTTTCCACGTCAAAGTTCTGATACCATGTAAGTTTTCCGATAAGCCACCTCAGCACTAATTGACCGGAAACTTATTCCGAGACTCAATTGCAAAAATTTTAAAAGGTTGGGTATTATTTTGCTAAATTGTAGAAGTTGAGTTTTTTTTTGCAACTTTAGAAAAGGTGGGGTTTTTTTTTGCAATTAACCCTATTATTTAATTACATTATTAATATTAAGAAGAGTTAAGTTGAATTAAATTTTGAGCTAAAAACATTTAAAAAAATATTCAGGTAGTCAAAATCAGTTTTTCTATAACCAACCGCGCCCTAATTGTTTCTCTAGAACACGAAAATCGTTTTCATCTTCGAGGTAAAAAAAAAAAATGTCGTGTGGATCATGCATTAGTGGAGGCCGTCGTTCAACTTCAAATTCAATCTCAATTGTGTTACTACATATTTATTTATATCTATATGATGAATAAAATTGAGTTACTACATATTTATTTATATCTATATGATGAATAATTTACAGGTTGAGATGAACCCACATCATCACTTCATCCCCAACAAAAAGTGACCAAACCCATGAATGTGGGTTTAGTAACCCCCATTGGCGCACACTCTTTTCCTTTTAATTTTCTTTTTACAGTCCATTTTTAATAGATCGTCACTGGCTGACCCCTTTTACTCAGGCCATTATCTTCTCTTTTAATATCTGTAGGTCGGTTAAGTTCTTGAATTTTGTGTCCCAAAATAGGATAAAAATTGAATCTTGGAAACAGAAAGAACAAAAAAAAAAAGGAAAAAAAAATGATGAAATCTGGAGAACAGCATCGAGATGAACATGTTAATGAGGAAATTGGCCTCAAGATTGATGCCCCACCATCGAATATCCTCCCGACAGGTGCACTTTTTTTTTTCCTAATTTTCTTAATAAAAAAATGGGTTTTTTATTCTGTTTTTTTTTTTAATTTTTTTAAAAAAGAAAATATGAGGAATTGTTTGGTGTGATAAATTTTGCTGTTCACAGAGGGAAAGAGCAGAGGCAGATCGAGGGCTATGAAAACAAAACACTCTGTTGCTGAACAGAGGCGTAGGAACAGAATTAATGAGAGGTTGAAAATTTTCAATTAAGAAGCTTTTTTATCCCTTTTTATTTTTATCATATTTTGGTATTATGAGAGTCTTGATACTGATTATTAAATGGGTTGTGGTGAATGTGCAGAAGTGTAAATGCACAAAGTTTGTGTGTTTTTTAATCTTACAGTGGTTCACTATTGATAAATTATGATATTGTATACATTAATGGCCTTGTTTGGCACATAGATGATATTGCATAGCTGGATAACTGATTGTATTAGTGGGTAGCAAATTGTATTAGCTGCTTTGAGGTTTGTCAAGCATTTGATAAATTGCAGAAAATTTTAGTTGTTACATGGTATTGCCTTTTTTATAATCATCTTTCCCCAAAATATTGATCTTTTGAACTTCTTCATAACTAGCATTTAGGGTCAAATAAGCTCGTTATCCGAACAAGCTCGAATCGAGATACAAACTGGTAATTTAGCACCAATCCTCTAATAAACAAACCGAGTCCATTGTCAAATGTTTAAAATGTTTGTTCAAGACTTCTTGCTTTTAAATTCATTTGTTTTGATCAAACTATCAGTACAAGAGTATGCAAAATACATGTTGTTCTGAACTTCTTGTAAGGGAATTTTTTTTGTAGGATATTGATTAGAACGACCCATGAGCTGCTGTTAAAACACCAAAATCTTGTAGTAAAGTAACTAAGAAGAAAAAAATCCAATATTAAATCTTGTAATAGGGTGATTATGAATTTGATGATAGCCCGGATGCCAAAAAAAAAAATACTTACGGTTATGATTACTAGTTCTAGCGATCGACGAGCGCTTTTCGTATACTTAATTTTTTTCTTGTGCACTACAGGTTTCAAATGATAAGAAATCTTATACCCCGTGGTGATATGAAACGAGACACTGCAACGTTTTTATTAGAGGTACTTCACCCATTATATGTGAAAAGGCATTTCATGTTTTTTGCATCTTTTCCTATAAAGCTTCGGTTTTTATTTTTATTTATATATTTTCTTTTTTTGTTCAGGTTGTTCATTACATACAGTTTCTACAAGAGAAGGTGCAACATTATGAGAGATTGTATCAACCCTGCAGTTCGGAGGCCATGAAGCTAATAATGCCATTGGTAAAGTTATATTTATTTTGTTTTATCCGTAATTAATTCTACGACATTAGAGA